GTAACATTTAGCAACACTGTGGGTTAAAAGTGCATTTAGACAAATTGGGTCCCCCAGAAGTTGTCTCTGCCATGTATAAGTGTGCGTCCCATCTTAAACTGATTCGTTACTTGTTATAAAAGGGAGGATGAAAAAAATAATGCCAGGAAAGAAACTTTAGTGCTTTATTTGTCTACAATGTGTGCGACGAGGATGTCACATATGGCCACGAATAAGGTGAAGGGAGACTTTTATTGCACCAGCTACTTCCTTCTCTTTGTTCTTGTCTCTTTTATGGGCTATTCAGGATCCCAAACAACAGACCAAACAGTGTTGCACGTTTAGGTTGCAAGTATTCACCCTATTGAAGAAATCAATGATGTGGACCAATAGACTGCTGCGTTTGAACAGACATTATTCAATAACTGTATTGATTATTTTTATTGTTATCTATTATTGCCTGTTGCGGAAAAACCAAGATAATGTGAATGATATTGTTTTAAATTAATATGTGGAGCTGGATTGTTTTATCCTGTCTAAACACGCTTGTTTTATTTTTTTAAATGCCGATGGTGGAAACCTGCGTTTTTATTAGGTGTACACAAAGTAATTTAATTATATTGAACCCAAAAACAGAGTGGTTGAAGCTGGTCTCTTTTATATTATTAATGTGGAATTTTACACATTTCGAGGTAGCAAATTTCTCTATGTCAGGCGTCTTGTTAAATTTTTGCAGAACACCTCTGAAGTCATTTTGTAACCCATAATTTGCTACTGAGATAATTATCGGTTCCCCTTCCCCCTGTGTGTGTCTGAGGAATGTCGAAGTATGATCAGAACAGTGGAAAAAGACTGGAACATGCATAAGTATTTTAACACGTTGCATTTTACTCCTATTTTGATGCGTAACAAGGAAAGGATCATGTATTGTTATGAGTTAAAGAGACTGTACCTGAGGGCTATCGCCGGGCACAGTTGGTTTGACGTTTGCTGGACAGTCGCATAACTGATTAGATTTTCAAAATGCAAAAAAGATTTTCTGAAACGCAGTTCTTTAATAGTAAGTCGGACCTACACACGCTGTTTTCCTTTACTTTATGCCTCCACGTGCGTTCATTTCTGGATCTGGGAGATTGCTGCTCGTGTTGCAGGGCTTTGCTGCAGAGATAGTTGTTGGTGTGCTGTGGAACGTCACTTGTTTTATTGCCTTCACAGAAGAGAGACCATAAACGCATTCTTACCGCCTACACCCTCCCCCAGTTCACTGCAAAAGCATTGAAATTACTCACATGCCAGATAATACATACGGAAACATTAACAATGTTAGAAACTCGTCGATATGACCGAGATAAACAATAAATGCCAATATTAATTTCAGTATCCACACAAAGCCTGTCCGTCCAGCGGGATGAGGGCATGTAGATATTGCAGCCCATCGCTGCAATGGTGTTGTGAAATTAAAACAGAATTTTTGTTCACACACACACACACACACACACACACACACACACACACACACACACACACACACACACACACACACACACACACACACACACACACACACACACTACAACTATACCAGAAATCTCGAAAATTCAAAATCGCAGGGAAGGGTTTTGACTTATATTTGAGTAAATGTGTGTAATTGCTGATTTTCTGAAATAAACTCTTTAACACACCGTTGGAGTTGTGCTCACATGTGTTTTTATGCAAATGTTGTGCCTTGCTTTGAATGTGATCACTGTAGGCTACTGAATTACATTGCCCACATTTAGCATATTCTTCCTCCTCAAATATCATATATTCTTAAACTTCAAGTCAAACATTTCTCATCCAAGTGTCAATCCAACTCTAAGTTGTGTTTATCGGCATTTAGCACTAATGTTCAAGCTCTGAGCTAAAAGCTACAGTTTCTCCTTAACTCCTGCCTCTCAATTGGTTGAGAACGGTCAGCTGACGTTGTCATATTGTCTCTCACCGAGCCAAGCCTCGGCTATAACACTCGGGTTTGTGCGTCTTAACCGGAGATTGGAAATTAATAATATAGAATCCTCAAACTAGTCCACGTCCAGTTAGAGAAGAAGAAAGTCGAGGGGGGAAAAGAAGACATTGGAGAAAGGTGTGGTTGGTTGACATAGACGGGAAGGAGATTTACTGAGAAGGAGATTGAAAAGCGACCGATAAAGAAGTGGGGAGAGTTGGAGAGAGGGATACAGGCAAGGTATGAATTCTTATTTCGCAAACCCTTCGCTCTCCTGCCATTTATCCGGTGGTCAAGATGTTTTGCCTAACGTACCCCTGAACTCCACCACCTATGACACAGTCAGACATTTTTCGTCGTACGGTGCTGCTGTGACCCAGAATCGGATATATGCACCTTTCTACTCTCCTCAAGACAATGTCGTTTTTGGCTCTGGCAGGGCACAATATGAATATGGATCAAACGTGTTTCTTCAAGACAAGGACGTGCTCCCTAGTTGCCGGCAAACAAACATGGGACTCAATTCACAAAGCCACATTGCTCAAGAGTATAGTTTGGATCAAGGAAGAGCAGGAGCGCAGGATCAGAAAACCAACATCCCGATCTACCCGTGGATGCAGCGAATGAACTCACACAGCGGTGAGTTTTACTACGACAAATAAATTAAGGAAATGGGCCAGTTTTACGATATGTCTTACCAAGAGAGTAAGTTACTTTTTATGGCCCCATAAAACATTACTGTATCCCCTAGACTTGTAGATGGGCCTTTACATGTGCAAACAAACAGCTTTCATATTAAGAGAGATATAGTAGCTATAATCAGTAGCGTGAGACAGAGAGAATACATTATGATGCTTTCATTATTTTAGATAATAAAGCAAAGATGCCCTTTGGGATAGGATTTCTCTATCAGTTAAAATGTGTTTGGCTTTCTTAGTGGATTTGAATAACAATTACGATGATAAAAATGAGATAAAACGTATTCCTAACTGCATTAAAGTATTATTAGATCACAGACAGAAGCATGCCTTTTTTATTTAAAATGTTCTTAACTTTATAAACAATTAAATCAGTGAATTCACTTTGTATTTCAGCAGGAGTGGGCTACGGGACAGACAGACGCAGAGGACGTCAAATATACTCTCGTTACCAAACACTTGAGCTGGAGAAGGAGTTCCATTTCAACCGCTACCTGACCCGGCGCAGACGCATCGAAATCGCCAATGCGCTTTGTTTAACAGAGCGGCAGATCAAAATCTGGTTTCAGAACCGACGCATGAAATGGAAGAAAGAGAGCAACCTGACATCCACGGTGACTGGAAGTGAACAGACAGCAGCCTCTCCGGAAGAGGAACGCAGTGGCGCAATTGAAGAAGAAAAGGATGAGGACAAGAAGAAAGAATAGTTTTTTTTAAAAGATGATGGGAAAGAACACCTGATGACCATTAAAACCCAACATAACTACCTAAAAAAAAATCGACATGGATTTGAGAGCGACTTCACTGCATGATGGCTAGCCCGCAGCTCTCCCACTTATATCCCATGCTGACCACAAGAGTGTTGAGCCTTAGATATCAAGATTATTTCAGCCATATATGGCCCCCTTTGACATTTGGAGCGCTGATTTTTTTATTGCAATGTCTCACTTGTATTGTGAAAATAAAAAGAAGTGTTCATTTATACGTTGTTTCTCATGCCAGTAAAATCTATGTATTTATCCCCCAACACCCCATCCATCACTGTGAACTCTTTGATCACCTCATAAAATACAGTGTTGGTCAGACTTAACTCAATGTTGTACATGCACATTCCACGGAAGCAAAGCAAAGGACCGGACGGACACTTTATTTGATCCTAGTATAACTAGTACTTGAATCATCTGCAGAAAAGTGTCCTGCATAAACATGAAAGTTGCACGGATATAGACTACAGTCCACACACAACTGAAATGCCTGTATATAATCAAAGTAATAGTATACTATGTAAATCCAATGAGGACTGCATTTAGCCGCTTTGATAGACGCTGCATAACATAAAACTGCGCTTATCCCTCTTTTGTTTGATAATTGACACAGTAGGCTTTCATTGTGAGATAGATTTGTACACTAGTAATTCTTCACATTTGTTTGGGAGTTACGAATTCATGTTTTGTCATAACTGTGTATCATGCAATAAAATATTTGTAAAAACTTAAACATTGTCTTGTGATTCTGAACATTGCACTTCAGATGACCGCATATATAAAGACTCCCTATGCACCAAACTCAGAGCGTGAATCTGGTTTGTTATTACATTTTAATATCATCATTACCTTTATGGGGAATTGAGGCTGTTAAGGCAATTGGGAAACAAATAAGCTAATTAAGTGATTTTTAAGCAAATGCTGGCCTCTTTAATATGAAAAATTCAGGTTAATTGGCTAATAGGAGCCCGGGAATGAGCTATGTTCCAATATCTCAACATTTTTCTAGTTGTGTTCCTATAACAGAACTTCCAGACACGTAAAATGTTCACTTCCACATGCGTAAATATATTTCTACCAAATGAGCACTTTAAAGTGTAATCGTCATTATTATTATTTGTATTATTGTTGTAATTGTTCTTATTAGTATGATATGGGGCTGTTGGTGCACTCGCAGTGTGTCAGGACAGAGATCTCTGGCCGGTTCTGACCGTCCTGCCCCATACCAGACACCAGATGACGCTCTTGTCTTACTGTCCTGCCCTTTTTGCGCTAAAGATCCCTGCCTGGTCCTCAACAACAGCTCAAAGTTTACCGGACACGTTTCTGCTATTCATCAATATCCCCATTGAGTATCAAAGCCAATTTATGACTGGCCAACATGTGCACGTGATCCCATACAAATACCCCATATTTGGGCAGCGCACGTCGGATCAAGAATTAAAAAAAAGATACCAAAGCCTACTCCACCTATAAATCGTGGATTATTTTTTAAGGGAAGACAGCTCTGAATTTTCCAAAAGCGGCCACAAAGAAACGCAATGATCAACAAAAACAGGGAAATAACCACAACTTGCATCCCGCAGCTATCGCTAGTTTAGAAAAGAAATTGTCGGTGATAGTTTGAAAAAAATGAGCTCTTATGTTGACAGCTGCAATCTCAGGCAAACAAGCGAGACAACTTCTCCTGACACTATGTTTAGTTTCGATCTTTCCGGGCGCCCGTCCAGCCACTATGAGGGTGTTAATGTGAACGGGATATTCACTTGTCCCGTCCCCACGACCTCTGTTGAACGGGAGGAGATGAAAACTAGCCTGCGTGGCATTACGGATACTCCTCTCCCGTCAGGACCACAGATAACCATGGTCTCCAGCAGCTCTTCCATGGACTCAAGCGGGCTGAACTACGGTAGCAGCACTCTGCTTGGACGAGGGGTGGACAGAGACCCGGAAAGGAGCGCAAAATCCGTCGGCAACAAGAACCACGACAGCGAGAGAAACGCGGAGAACACGCAAACGGTGAAACGACACACAAATGTGAACCAGCGTCAGGACAGTGAGCAGCGGCCACAGATTTATCCATGGATGACAAAACTGCACATGAGCCACGGTAAAGTTTGCCTATTTTCTAAAGTGCGACTAAGATGCTTTCCCTTATTCACTCTTTACGCTGCAACACTCCTTTTCGCCCAATCCAGTTTCCCTCTTGAGTTTTATAGGCCAAACGCAGGAAATAATAAAAACTCGCGGTCATAAATTTTATGACAAAGGCATCCATTGCTCGTAAACCTGCTCTGTTACGGTGGAGAGGTGATCTGTGGGCTGATTTATGGAGGTATAATTGGATAAGAGAACAAAACTGATAAAGCTATGAAATAATATTCACAAATTCAGCTCCAAGTATTAGTTTTTGCCCTGCTGAGTTTATATTATTAGTTAATGTTTTACACTATCAGACTCACTGTGTGTGTGTGTGTGTGTGTGTGTGTGTGTGTGTGTGTGTGTGTGTGTGTGTGTGTGTGTGTGTGTACCCCCCCCCACACACACAATATAAGATACAACAATGTGTTAAAGATATATTAATATAGAAGGCAAGGGATACTTAATTGTCCTTTTACCCCATAACAAAGTATCTTTAACACATTGTTGTATCTTATATTGTGTGTGTGGGGGGGGGTACACACACACACACACACACACACACACACACACACACACACACACACAGGTACAAACACAAAGGAACACAAAAACAGGAATGAAAATGGGTTTCATCTTGATCTGTGTTATTTTCCATATGCCTATAGCATTTAGAAAAACATCTGACATTTTTAATAACATTTCTTTCAGTCAAAAATAAATCGACGAACTGCAGTGCATTTCAACATAATCTGATTTGGTGTACTACAGTATGCTGTTCAATGATATCACCCTGTCCCTGTCCATTAATGTTAAAATGTGTGTCGTTATTGCTGGTGGTTTGGATGATAATGAAGATGATATTTGTGATGCTTTTATGCAAAGGTGGAATAAAATATCATGGTGCTCATCATAATGTCGTCAGTGGTTATGTCACAGCATCTAATAACACATCGCTGTATCTCGTTATATCAGAACAAAACCATAGAGCAGACCAATCTCTCATACTTCGAGGTGACAACCACAAATCAGACACAGGAACCCTCCTCGGTGGCAGAATTGTAACAGCTGGTCAGCTGACATCCGCAGTGAAACGCCGCCGAAAACCAGCAGCCATAAACAACAAGCCTCAACATCCGCCCACTTCCACATGCCACGCTTCTGATCGCTAGGGGGCACTGGCGGGATCTGTGTTTCAGTGTATATGTGTGTCTGCGTGCATGTGCGTGCGTAAAAATGCATGTTATATCCAGGCCCTTGGCACAGACTAAATACAACAAGTGACAACAACTATGGGAACCAGATCTAATAAGAGCAATTGACTGCAATTTGTCACTGCATGGTCAGCAGGGCCTGTGAGTGATGACAAAGTTTACTATCATTAGGCAATTCATCACCACACATTGGCACAGCATCTCTTAAATGCCTCGCTAATGTAGGCTTAAGCGGCCAGTACACACATTCAGGTGCTTCCACATCAGCCAGTAAAGCACAATGCAAATTGCCGTGGGCATCAGCAGCCTCCCAGGCTACAGGTCAGGTCACAACTACACAGAATAGACATATCACTCACTCTTCTGCATCATTCATCATTTCAACCCGGCCAACACCGGCGGATTGCCAAACACAACATGAAAACATTAAGAAAGAGTGATAGAGATATGTGTAATCTTACCCCAGATAGGCTCGCCGTAGTTTGTGGCTTCGCTGTGGTCCAACAGAGCAGCTGAGGGGTCACGATGGCGAGAGGGAAATATCAACAGAGTGCACATCTCCCGCGTACTGTCTTCACACCCTGGCGATAAGGAGCCCGTGGAGGCAGGCTGTCTGTTTGCCGGTAAAAGTCTTTTCTAGGATGGCTCCTTTTTTCCTTCCCAGTCGCGGCTTTATTGCCTCCGGGGGGGATAAACGCAGCGGCTGGAGAGGCGGTGACTGTCCCGAAGATCCCTCTGTCAGGAAGTCGGAGAACGGATGAATATCACACGAATCAGCGCCAAAATGTCTGTGCAGTGATTATATATGAGAATAAAGAAAAAAAGACGTTTCTACGCCCCAGCTTAGTCTGCTGCTGATACAAGGGAAGGACCAGAGAATAGACAACAGCATAAAGTTCATGTTCATAGAGCGTGGGCCACGTGGCTCGCTGCAGCCAATCGCAGAAAGGATTCAGTCGTAAACTTTTATTACTCAGCTGTAAATTTCTCCCTTTAACAACCAGGAATGTTTGCACCCATCTCTTCCCCTTTCTTTTTTTCGATTGCACAAAACTAAAAATGGCCACACGCTATAGCACGATGCTGAGATTTCCCATAAGTCACATATCAGACGTGCGTCAACAAAATCTGACAGTTCCCCTGGTGGACAAGCAGTATGCCATAGTGTACCTATCCAAAGGGAAATGGGAAATAAAGTGTGTGAGAAACAATCAGAGGGAGGGAAGACAGGAAAATAGAGAGAGAGAGGAGCATGCTGGAGATGTCTGATTAAACTTCAATTAGCTAAACTACACTTTCCTATCAGGGCCTCTGTGTACCTGAGTGACTCTCAGGATGGATATGTCAGAAAGCAGATATCATGTTACCCTCTTCACATCAAACATGAACTACATGCCCGAGCTACATGCGTGATGAAATGAAGAGTATATATGTCAATGTGAGTGGCTGCAGGGTATTATCATTTTAAACTTGAAAAGCAAGAAAGGTAGGGATTGTAAGCCTGCAGAGAACACACACACACACACACACACACACACACACACACACACACACACACACACACACACACACACACACACACACACCCATAACAGCAGCTTCCAACCTTCTGAAAACAACATACACTGTAACAGGATCAAAGAGTCACACCCACCGACAAGGACAAAATACGTACATTTGTACATTTTAGAAACAAGGACAACATAAGGCGGCCACAGGGTTTACAAGCAAATGTTTTCACCTTCAACAAATATATTGCAATGAAATACGTTTATTAGAAAATAGAAAAGAAAGAAGATTCCAGATGAAAAGAACAATAGAGGAGAAATAATTTAATTTAAGCGCAGTTGTTGTCTTATAAATCCACTAGAGCAGGAGCTTTTAGTTTAAAAAATAAAAACAAAATGACATTTAGTCTGCGTAACTCATAAAATAAATGTCCTACATCCAAATATTAAAAAAGATTTTAGTTACCTACTCGGATGAGCGTTGCATCTTATCCTTGCAGGCCGTGATCTCCACACTGAGCCTCGGCACACACAGACAAAAGATGCAGAGCCATCCAAGCCGAGCCTTTACACCACCAATAAAGTTTACAACAGGTACACTAAAGTTTATTGGTTATGTCAGCCCTGTGGTAAAAGTACACACACACATAATGGTGCAGAATAGCTGTTACTTGGGGGACACATCCGGGATTTTCTAAAGACTACATGCGCCTAAATAGAGCTATAAACACCCTGAGTAAAAAGGCTGCGTTTTGACGCAACTTTGTTTCATTCAGAAAAACACAAGACACAATTGAAGGGAAAAGCCCTTTTCAGCTTGGACTTAAATCTAGAAAAAAATAATGAAATTAATAAGCAGCTTGCTGGCAATTTGCATTTTATTACATGGACAAAATGCAATCGAAAAGCCTGTTGGTAACACGGGGTTTTCGTTGCGATATTGTTTGTTAGACTACACTTCAAAACTCACCCAGATGAAATGTTTTACCTTCTATATTTATCTATATGTTCGTTTTGATTAAAAATAATTACATATTGAACTATTAAGAATCAATTTTTTATTGAAGAAAATGCATGGCTTTGTTCATATTTGTCCTGTGTCTAAACAATACAATTCCGTTTTGGTCTTAGTTTTTAAATTCTCCTAATCTACCTTTAATTATAAAAAAAAATTAAACTTTGTAAAACATGTTAAGAACCCAATAAATAAATGATTGAATAATGTTTAAATGTATTTGTATTAAGTATTTGCTTTCCCAGCCTACAGTTTATTCAGCTATTCTCTAACTGAGCGGATAAAAAGCAGACAGGCTAGAGATGCACCAGGAGTGTTAAATAATTTAGCTTCATGAAACTAAAACCACCACAAGGAGAGACGGCCATAATCAAGAAGAAAAACCAATGTTACATTAAAGTAAACAAATATATATTTTATAAGCCTTCAAAATAAAAAATAGAGCTCGTCTTTAAAAGTGGGTAAAATGGTGTTGCAAACATGGAGGAAAGGTCCAATTACTATATTGCAAAAGAACGATTACATTTATGTGTGTAAAAATAATAAAGCTAGTAGCCTATTGTATCTGGTCAATTCTAAGAAGACTTTAGGTGATCTAAATTTCTGCACCGTCTGTGCTACTTCAATGATATTGGGATTTTATGTTGACTCCTCATTTCCTCCGTTAATCCTAAAGCGTCATAATAAACGCAGCAGCAGCTGGGCAGGAGTGGAGGAAACACAAGGTGTTACCTGCACTTGGCCTCTTATTTCCGCTTTGATTTCAACGCTCCGATGCTTTCCGGAGGTTTGTCTGGACACCATGGATTCACACAACACATTGCATGGTATAGACAGATAAAGCCTCCCTTATGCTTTGAAATTATTTAGTCTCATCATTATTATCACGCCAGATGTTTGTTCATCTCATCTCAAACAGCCATTATTCATCACAAGATTCATTAAGAAAAGCTTCGTGTTCTCCCTGAAGAGAGGAAGTTTCTTATTAAGAGGATGAATCAAACACGATGGCTTTGGAGAGTATGCATGCTGTGAACGGGATTCGCAAACTTTCCTTAAAAGGTAAAAGGATACGTTTGCAAACGCACGTCTGCAGTGTTATTTTTATCGAATAAGTTCTAAAGTTTAAATTAGGCAATTTTTAGCATCAGCATGGTTGCACGGCACCTCCTCGTTGAGTTGTTGGGATTGTCTGCATCAAAAGACTTCTGGATATGAAAACTAAGGCGCATATTTGCCTCTACAGCCTTCCAAAGAGCATACTTCGAGAGAAAAGCAAAGAAGAGGCAAAAGGATGACATGTTTATTAAACTGCATATTAGATTGTAGCCTACTCTTTGTAAATGTATGTGTGCGCGCTATACATGTTAACATGTGTGTGTGGG